CTTAAGGTCAGTGGTTCGAAACTACCAGCTGCTCCGCGGGAGAAAGATGAGGCTTTCTACTCCCGTAAAGATTTACACCCTCGGAAACTCTATACAGGGTCGCTATGGGTCGGAACCGACTCGATGGCACATAACAACAACAACAACAACTCTTTAATGCCTTTTCTCTTTGCCAGCATGCTTAATTGCAGTTAGTTGAAAAAAAAAAAAGAAAAAGTAAGGAAACTATTTAGGAAACTATCTTTGATTATTTCCCCCCAGCCCCAGATGTTAAAAAAAACAACAACACACACAAAAAGAAACTGCTGTAAAACGTATGTGAATTACATTAATTTACCTCCTCAAATGTAGTGTCTACCTAGTAAATTCACATTGGGAGGTTTGATGACAAACACATACACACGGATTCTTCCATCTCTCAAGGGGAAAAACAGCAAGGACAAACCATAGCTTGAATAGATAAAAGGCTGGGAAGGCACTACAGCCCATACATCAAGTTCACAGGCACACCTAATGGTCCAAGACACGGTCAAGGTCCTTGGGAGCTCAAGACACTGTATACTCCGTGTGCCAATTTCACTTCTCTTCAACTGACCTTTCCTCAACCCAGGATCCTGGTGGGAACATTGATGAAAGCAGTAAGATCTGGAAGGGTAAGGTAGCCTGAGTAACCCCTTAAGGCTCTAATGAAACAAATGCAATTCTTTGAGCTATCTCTTAAGGAAGGGCTAGATACTCCCTCAAATCCCAATCTATTTCCAGAAACACTGGAAAGGCACGACCATCACATGGAACGAAAATATCCAAATATCAGAAAACCTTGTGGGGGTTGGGGGAAAAGGCAGACATAGCTAGAATCCTCTAAATCTGTTCTCACAATTGCCGCACAGCAGAGGCTGGGACCTCGAGGCCCACGTGCACTTGCTTAGGGAACCCATCCAAAGAAACCTGACCCCGATAGGAATCATCACGCCGCACCCGGGCTGTGTTTATCGGAATGGAACGCTACAAGTAGTTGTTCGCAACCCATCTCCCAGCTTTGACAGAGAAGACGCCTGCCGCCCCCACACCCACAGCCCAGTTCTTCTCCAGCTGAGGTAGAGGACGATCGCAGGGCTAAGGGCCCTCGCCTCGGTTCTCGCGATTGTCCTCCACAGTCCTTCAACCTCCCTCCAGCCCAATTCTAGGCCAAATCAAACCTGCATGTCCCCGTGGTGTCGACCTTTAGCGTCCTACTCAGCACCTCCAACTCTGATCACCACCTCAGAGTCCTGGGATCGTTCTGGGAGCATCTCAATGAGCGTCCGGACGTAGGAGACCTCCTCCACCCCTCCCCGCAATACTGCGGAGCAGCCGCGCCTCTCGCGGCCAGGTGAGGGGGCTGAGCCTCCGCAGACGCTGCAACCCGGCCGCCTACCTTCCTCTGCTCGGCTCGCTCCGCCCGGCAGACGCTGCCAGCCCTACGACCTCGGAGGTGACCCTGCACAGTGCGCCTGGGCGACCTCAAAGGATGGCGGGTCAGAGCACCCAAAGTAGCCAGAGAAGAGCGATCCCACAATCCAGGCACGCTGGACTGAAAGAGGGGCCAGACAGCCGATCCCGCGGCGAAGGGAGAAGGGATGGGTGGCTTCTAAAACCGACCCGAGTGGGATTAAGACTATAGATGTCAGGACGGCGGGAGTGTCCGGGACGAACGCTACCGGTCGCGAGCCTCGGTCGTTAAATCCCCGAGGCATGCGGTTTAAGAGCAGCGGCCGCAGGCGCTGAGGGCGCGCTCTGGGAGTGGGGGCTGCAGCGGGGGAGGGGGCTGCGAACCCCGCTCAACGTCCTCACCTTCTTGGTGCTAGAGCCTCCGGCGAGCCTAGACACTGCTGTCAGAGAAGAGGAGCGCCCTGGTTGCCCCCCTAGAGTCTCCTGCTGGGGGGACATAGCTTCCATGAAGAAATCCTTCCAGCAAATTCCAGGCCAGGAGGAGGCTACGCGGACATGTCCACGGGACGGCGGCCGGAGAGACGAGGACGCGCGGGGCGGAGGGGCGGCTACCGCGCTCAGGCCGGTCGCTGAGAGCTACGGGTGCGGGCAGCGCGCCTCCCGTCGGGGCCATGTACCGCCGCCTGCGCTCTGCACAGCAGGCTGAAGGCGATTACAAC